TAGACAAAACATGGCTCTACATACAGTAGCAATAACGGCATGGTGAGTTGTTAACAGTCAAAGCATCAAAAAATAAAAAGATACAGGAAACACACATCTGTTAAACACAACCAGATGTTTTTGTTCTCTTGGTTCTTGTTCTGCTAATAGAGTGGAAATTAAAAACAAACACCAGTGAGGTTTTTCTTGGGGAACAAAAATAACTGGCATAGCAGATCAGGGCTATGTACTACTTCTGCTAAACTATTTCAGCAAGAAGCAAGAGCAAGAAGGTGAAAAAAGGTCTCTACTTATTTGAACACAAAGCTGAGGTCTGAGACATTTCCCAAAGTTTTGAATCAAGTGAGGTCTGGATCTGTAGCTACAGCGGTCTCAAGTTTGCTTCAAGTCTAAACTGTGCTCATAGTACTGTACACATAATCTGTACACATAGTGCTATTAATAAATCATATTAATTTGCATTCATTCACTAGATGGTCTGTAAGAGGGCAGCAGGCTGTTCTGTGTCTGAACTACTGTACATTACCCAGGAAGCAGTGGGGAATGACCTGCCATCGCCTGTTACCTGACCACTTGAAGGGACGCAATTAGTCGGATGACATTTACCATCCAAAGTTGGTAAAAAGTTGGTATCTATGGAAGACATTAGATCCTCTGGGTTGTGCCGTGTCATTGGAAGAAGGGAAGACATGACAGTGGAATGTGTGGAGCTCTTGGGAATTCTATGAATTTTTTTGAGTTTTTGAAACTGTGAAGGACTCTTGGTTTTACTGTAGCTGGTAAGCGCAGGAGCCCTGGGCAGGTGAATAGGCCAGAAACTGTGAAGAAGAAATATAGGTGGAGTTAAAGCAGTAACACATGTTTTATGTTTGTATCCCCTAGAGCTACAGTATATAAATAAGCACCATTTTTGTCTTTATGGCAGCATTTGTGCAATTTGTGTCTCTTTAACTGAGACCCATCGTTTCAAAGATACCTCCATTGGCACTCTGTGGCTGTACCGCACTTGGATGTAAATGGAAATTAGAGCTTGCAAAAAGATATTAGATAAAAGCTAATTGTGAAACTATCTTTATTGTTTAAGAAACTCAGGAACCACCATGTTTGGCAGTGACACAGTAGTTGAGAACTGGCATGAATCGGGCTGTGATTTTATTAAGCAAGACTGAATTATCTTCTTTGTCTCCTTGTTACTAAATACTATTAGGTCAACAAACATATAAATAACTCCTAACAGCAAATAAACAGTCCATGTAACTGCATCTGGAATAAAATGTAAAAACATTGTTGAGATTAGTCTAAACCTGTCATTACATTCATGGTGAATTTAACTAGGAAAGAATTGGCATTATTTTCCATTTTATGTAGAAAGGCAGTGGTCATTATCCAGACTAGTGTAAAGCAAAGATAATCCTTTCCACGAGAGATTAAATAGGCAACAGAAACACTTTAATCCTAGTTGAAATGGCACAGAAAACTAAAGTCACATATTTTTCAGGTTAAGATAATTAACACCACCTTTTCAGCATGTGCCTGCTTGCTAACACCCTCCCCTCCTTTACTGTAGATTATGGCTACAGAGATCTGAAAAAAAAAAATGAGAAGGCTTTTCCTGTAGGTCACATGAACACTGTCTCAGAAAGAAGTGATGCAGAAATATCTAGTGGCTGACATCCCTGATTTATGAAAGCTTTCTCTTGCATTTTGTGTGCTCTGTTTATTAAATGGAGTTGGCTTGGATACAACTTCACCTTTAAAGTGGAAGCACTGGGGATCTGAAAAATAAAGTGATATAGTACTTCCCTGTCTGTGTTACTACAGCTGTTTATATAACATACTGTACCTGCAATTTGTCTTTCACCCATTTACATCCTGATATTTATTATTAAAGGCTGAAAATTTTCCACTTCTGTTTTCATAATATCTTATGAGATGTATAATTATCAGTTCTCTTTATTACCTAAGCATTGTAAGCCTTCAGTAGCTTCATTTACTAAACAGGTTTCTCAGACCCAGTTCTTAGCTTCAGAATACTATGCTTGACTTACTGTATTTCTCAATAAGTAAAGAAATAGAAGCAGTGACCATTAAGTGAGCATGTGATCTCAATCATGTCGTTCAGTGTCCAGGGTGGAATGAAGAAAATAGTGGGAGGAAAAAGTATCAGTAGTTTTAATCGTGAGCTGAATTGCCCAATTTAACACTCTTTATCACCTAGTTAAATAATCCATTTGATTGTATAAGGAGATGCGAGAAACCCACAGGATTGTGGTCCTAGAGGAGTGAAGAAACTTCAAACCTCTTCTTTTAGAAGAGCTAGTATTTTTTAAGCAAGCTGAGAAAAGACAAGTGAATTCTGAATGCACTGGTTGGCAAAAATGTCCAACATACTGTATAAAGTCCAGTACCTGTAAAACTTCCACTCCTGCATGAGCAGAAGTATGTATAGAAAAGCCAAGCCTGACAAACTGCAATAGACTGGCGTCTTGTCCAGGGTGTACCCTGCCTTGTCCCCACTGCTTGCCAGGAAGGCTCTGGCTCCACCGTAACTCTGAATTGGAAGAAGTGGTTAGAAAATGGAAGAATGGCTTCTGGAAAGGTTTTTGGATGTTCGTTTCCTCTAAGTTTTTAATATCTTCCTTTGATCTATTGACTTGCAGCCCCCATAGAAAGTGTGTGGCTTAGCAGCCTGAAATCAAGATACATTAAAGTAGAATTTTACCATTTTTACATGTCATTGCGCTGAATTAGCATTATTGCCAGTTATTTATTAAACTGAAAGCCTGCAGCTCTTTAGAGACAAGAAGCAAGGATTTAGTGCATTTATTGTGTGGGTCAACTACTGTACATGCACTAGTCAAAACCAGAATCATACCATGTTTCTGGGAGCAAAGAGCAGATCTGAAGCTTTGTTCAGCAGTTAAAAGTCTAAAAATGGAGCACTAAAATGTTTATTTTTTGTGGTAGTTTAGACACGAATACACAAATCAAACTCTAAAGTTTTGTTGTGTACTTTGGCTATTCCAGAGCGCCTTGGTAGCTGGACATTGTAACACTAGCTTGAAAGAACTGGCAAGCTGTTTTACTAGATTCCCTGACCGAATAAGGTGATGGCCTGGTTTCAGAAAAAAAAAAGAGGTTTGTGACACATTTAGTGCATTTTCCATGCCTTTCTTGAAGCCGAACAGCAAGCAAAAATTATTTGGATGGTACCATGACAACTGCTTTGTTACGGGCTTTATATCACTTTGTCTGAAACTATGTAAATCTGTTTAGTGTAATCAGGTTGCCATGAAAAAATTCCAAGCATGCACAGGACATGATAAACTGCACAGAAGCCATGGGCTTCGAGTTTATTGAATCCGGTTAAAAGTAAGCCTTTGGTAGTGATGTGGTGAAATATTAATGAACAGGTACAGATATTCCTAAAATACGCATTATGTTTTTAATTTGGGTTCCCAAAAAATGTTTCCCTCTCAATTGCCCAGACTGCATAATACAAGTTAACTTAACTTTTACATAATAAAATGTTCCCTCCTTCTGGCAAAAGGAGTACCTCTGCAACAGAAGCCCTACAGGAGGGTCTTGTTCAGCAAGAAAATAGAATGATCTTAATGGGGCTTTCTTTCACAATGCAAATAGACTTAGATAATGCTGAGTAGCATTAGTGGTATACAGCTCTGAAGAGCTTTTACAGCAAGTAGTTCTGCAGTCTAGCTCTCTCTTCCCATCCACCCACCCTCTATCAGACAACTACAGTACTTGTTTCAAGTAAGGATCATGGCAACTCAGGCTCAAACACACGCACACAGATAATCTGGAGAAATGTTAGTAGGGTGGGAAGGAAACATGGAGAACACATGTGGATGTAGAGAGAACATGCAAACTCTGTACAGAATGTTCCCTGGCTCAAATCAAACACTGAACCCAAAGGCTATAAAGCAGCACTAGCAGCCACAACACCATGATGTCCTTAGCTCTGTCTTAATTGAGTGTTGTTCTAGCTGTATACAATTAATAATTACTGTGAAAACTGGCCCTGATGTGAGTTTAAATCTGTGTGTTCCTGCGATGGACTGGCATCCTATCCAGGGTGTACCATGCTTTGTGCCCGTTGTTTGCCAAGATAGGCGTCGGCTGACCTGAATTGGATAAAGAAGTTAGAAATGGATGGATTTATACACACACATGCACTAACTTACACCAGGGCCATTTGGTTCCCAGAAGCCAATCAAGCTACAAGTATGTCTTTAAACTGTGGGAGGAACCCACACAAACACACAACAAAGAGAAACATACACATTTCACACAGATACTGTATACCCCAGAATTGAACCAAGTGCCTCAGCACTGTATAGCAGCTAACCACTGAACCACTGTATGCTATTCTTTATGTAAAATGATTTTTGTCACTGTCAGTGCAGAATTAACACTTTTAGACATTCTATTTACAGTATGTTTCCCATTTTCTGCTGGCTGAATTTATTTTGGCTAGAACTGAGTTCAAACTCAAATGGCAGTTCCTTTGCTTTTATGTTGCTATACATGTATTGCATATTTTCTTGAAATATATAAACACCACATCTCACTTTTACACTAGAACAACTGATTTTTAAAATATGACAACAACTGAAAATCCTTTTTTATGAAGCAAACACTGGGCCTTAACTTTAATTTAAGCCATAAACCGGGCCTCTACTGCATAAACCTCCAGAGATCTTACAAAATGTTTGAGGGGACATCATACCAAGAACCTGACATTTTTTCCTGTGGCGACAAAGTGTTAAGCTTTGTAAGCTTGCAGGTCTTTGTAGTCCTTTGATGAGAGGTGCAGGTATGCTAGATGAAACTACAGCTCCCAGGAAGGCATGTGGCAACAGGTGGGCCAAGTGATAGTTTGACCTAGGTTGATTACTAACAGCTGTTTGCTATTGTCTCTTGGCCTGTATAGAAAAGTTCATGCCAAGGAGCAGTTCCGGTTTTGTGTTTGAGACTGCACTTGTTGGTTTGAGATGGTGCTGTAGGAGTCTGACGTAGAAGTAAAAGGAAAAATATACACACACATTGAAGGATTTTAAAATGAACAGAAAGTTTAAGGAACTGTGAAGGTGAAATCTGTGGCCTGCAGGTAAATGGAAAAACTTTATTAAGCAGAAACAAGTGCTAACATTTTGCCTTACTCAGCTGAAGGGATTATCCCTTTTTGTGCATTCCTCTAACTTAACTATGACTGGGAAATGTTTTTATTTAATTATCTTTATATTCCTGTCTGGGTTCTCCACATTCCAATGTGTCATTGCCCTGTAAAATATTGGAACATAAAAGTTTGTGTCAGTTGAAATGAAGGCTAGCCCTTCCTGCTTTTTCAGCACTTGCTCTGGTTTAAAATGGCATTCATGTTGAGCTTATCTGTCCACAAACCCGTTTTAGAATGCACTACGATTCATGTGACCTGTTTTGTAGTGGAGCTGGACCCGACTTGTTCGGTATTGGTAGCCTGCTTAATTTTGAGGCTCAACCTTTAACCTCAGTAGCTCTGATCATATGAATGTTTCCACCACCCCCCCCAGCCATCACCAAACACCCTACTGCTCCATCGTGCTAGTTTCACTGATGCCCTCTGTTTCCACAGTTTGTGCAAGTGCATGTTAAATGTTGTTAATGCTATAGCTTGAAAGGGACAAAACTGCTGTCAGATATAATAGAACATGTAGTTTCAGCTATAATAGGAGGGAGGTGTCTTGTAAATCATCTTTTACTCAATATTGCCAGTGCCTGTTAATGATAAGTTAATAGAACCCTGTTTCTTTTGATTTTTGGTCCTGAATGATTCCTGAATTGCTTAGTTTAAGAAATGGCCTGCTGAAAGAACAATTACCTATACAAGCCAGGTGGGAGATTCCTGCTATGTGTTGCTCTAATATACTGAGCAGCTGTGCTCTTTGAAAGCTTACAGTATAAGCTGTGGTGAAGGTAGAAGCCCACTACTCTTTGCATATATAGAACATGCAGTGAGGCCCTTAGTACTGCTGGATCTTACTCCCTTTTGGAAACTCCAAGCAGCTTTTACAACAGTTCTTACTGTAGATTCAATCTGGGTCTGTGCTTCAAAAGAGCAATGCAGTTCCTGATCTGCCCACTCCTGTTCTGGAAATCCTTTCATGAGAGGGCTGGTGTGATGGCTCACTCTCTTCAAATGCAGACTCACCTGAAGAGCTCAAAGAAGCTGTTCGATTGGTTCTATTAATCTGATAGCGATCGTAGGAGTATAGGGGAGAGGAAGTCCTGGCTGGTTTCATCCGTAGGGTCAGGATGGTGCACCCCTGTTCTGAATGGGGATATTAGAGTTCAGTTTCTCCCTTGGCAATGTGTTATTACTGAGCTTTCTTGAAACTGCATCCTGTTTTGAAAGGCTTCTCCATGCTGTTGCCTTTTATTTAAAAAAAACAAGCACTTATTTTGGGTCTTATTCCACTCTGTTACTTTGCTCTTAAATCAGGGTCCAATATCGTGTACCTGCTGGTTTTCATTCCAGCTGAGCTCAATTACTTAATTGAATTAATAAGCTGCTTGATTAGAACATTTGCAAGCATTTTTTTTCCAGCTCAAGAGTCCGGGATTTGATTCTAATTAGGATACACAATAGTTAAAAGGCTACCTCCAGGAGATTTTAAAATATAAAAGGAGTCTCAGTTCAAATGAATCGTGTTATTCAGTCTGTTGTAAATTCAGTGGTGTATCTCACAACTTGGCTTGAAAAAAAAACAATGGTGTCTCTAGGACCAGGATTAGGAATCACAACTTTCAGTGATTATTGTTGGAGATGGTTTGATTTCAAACTTTAATGGCACACTAATCCAGTGCTGGGATTATTTAGAGACCGGGATCAACCTATTCAGTATGTCCTTGTGATTATCACTGTGAAGTGGGAGGAGCCCAGATCACTCGGTGGACATGAGTGACCGTGCAAGCTCCACACTGATGCTCGAGAGCAGAATCAAACCCAGAGCCCTTGTGCTGAGAGGCAGCAGTGTTACCCAGCCCCACACCCTGAAGACGTGTGCAAATGTGTGCAAATGAGCAGAAGCACAAAATGAAATCCAGCTTCCATGTGACCTTTCACTAGTGAACATGAAAAGACGTGGAATAAAAGCTTAGTGCCCTCGTCCGAAGGGTTATGATTGCCTCTAAAATTAAAATTCTGAGCCCATCCCTCCCCCTAGGAGTACGGGACAAGGAAAACAGGTCAGCTTTGCTACCCTTAAAAATGTAGACTTGGTGGGGAACTTTATGAATAGCTCTATTGTGAATGTCAAACTTCCATGCATTTTTTTTATGTTGCTTTTAGCAGCGTGGCAGATATAATTGCGATCAGTCAGCTCATCTTGATGCTGATAACGGGGAAATTCCTGTTGAGGAAGGCAGGATGTCACAATGCTCCTGGCATGCTCTCCAGCCTGGATGAGTCGTGGCACGCCCTCCTCGTTGTCATTAAACTGAAACAACAAACAAAACACAACCAAAACAAAGGCAGCTCCTGCCTATGTGCCGAGTGTGAAAGCAGTTGGAAGTGTCAGCATAAATTTAGCAGTTTGTCATTTGTTTGGCAAGATTCCCTGCAAGAAAAAAGCATTGTGAAAATAAGAAAACTGTTATTCACCCTCTGCTGAATGTGCTCTATGCGTGTTAAAATTCGGGCTGTACTTTCTGTAATTTATAACCGACTATATATAATGAGGACTGACAAATTGCATGTTTCAGATTTTGTCTCCTGCCAAAATTCATTGTTTTTTTCTGACAACTCCTTTATAAGCTGCAATTGTCAATGGCTATTACTGCACCTGATTCTCGTACTGGCATGTGATGAAAGGAGTGCAGGCTATATACAGTCAGGCCACTTGCTTCTTTTTGCAGTGAGCCTCTTGCAGCTGAAATGCATGGTGATTGCTGTGAGCACCCCATTGAAACAAATCAACTAGTCCAGCCCTTACTCTTACAGACTGTATGATCTGAATTGCAGGGGTCAGCATGCACCGAGCAATAAAAGAGGAGCCTCTTGGGGAAATCTAGAATTCCCAATTGCAGGCCAATGTCATTTACAATGGTTCTAGGTGTGTTTACCTACATGTAGCTCCCTATATGCCAGAATTTGGCTCATCCAAAAAGAAAGGTTCTCCTCTCCCCCTCCAGAAAGCAGTGCGTTACAGATCAAGACATTACTTCAACTTGGTTGAAGGCCATCCTGCCCAATTTCTAATGTAGGTTAACAGAGCAGCATCAAAGCATGCTTGTTTTAATGATATTTGTCTCATTTCAGTCTCAGATCACAGTACCAGGAGAAAATATTGACCATCAAATAAAAAATGGAAATCTGGTACCATAACTAAGCACTGAGGTTTATTTATATTTATTTCATTCAGTGAATGAAATAAAAAAGTAAAGTGAGACAACATTTCGGCTGGTGTCTCTTTTCTTTTCCTTTCATTCGTCGAATAAAGCATTACCTGTCTTTTGCAACCCATGTGTGTTGACGCAGCTCCCTACTCAAAGTTCTTAAGCACTCAGTTTGGCAAGATTGTAATGAATGCAATTGAGGGACTTGGAGAGATTTGTCTAGCTGAGGGCATGGAAGCCTTGCCCTCAAGATGAGGCTGCCTAAACCCCTATCTACCCCTTTCAATTGAGAGGAATGAGCTAGGGAGCTGCTTCAATGATGCAGATGGGGTGTCGGAAGGGGTGCATGAGAGTTGAAAGAAGAGAAGTCCTGGGTGCGAGATAGATATGTAACATAACCAAGCTGATCTATGCAAGATTAGAATTTAACCTTCCTCCCAAATTGATCAAGTCTATTCAATGGAAATCGGTTGAACACATATCAAATCAAATGGCATGCCATTGTTTTGTTATGCAGTCTATGGTAATGTTGAATTTGGTTTTGCACCATTTTCACTTCAAAGGTGCTCTTGAAAGGACATTTGGCTTCTTGATTAAAAAGTTTGATTTCCACCATTGTAAAAAACACTCTCCCGTTTCAATATTTCCTCATGCCTCATTTAAAATATTTCATGCTGTAAAAACACCCTCATAAAATAGATTAATTATAAGTTGGGATTGGCTTCTTTTTGATTTCACATGTTTCCAGAAATAATATGAAAGTTTAACAGTGAATAAATCTCTTCACCCTGTATCTTAGGCTATTTTCTTTGATCAAACTAGTGTTGACAATCCATGTTCAGATCTGTCTTCCTGGAAGACAGTGGCATGGTGTACATAGAATCTCAGTCTTAACGCATGTCTTTCCTTGAGCTAAAGTTGATCCGTAACTTATAACATATTGATGACTTGTAACATATTCATGAAACTAGTGTTTTGTCTTCTAATGACTGCTTCTAGTAGCAGAAATGTTGTATTACACCATTGTGTTGAAGGTAGATATCCAGTCAAAGAGGATCCTAGTCACACTTTTTGGGTTTGAGCTTGGATGTTCTCCCATCATTTGTGTAGGTTTTGGCTAGTTTTCTGTTGTCTCCTAAAAATTTACAAGTTGGGTTTGGATGACTTCTCTTTTTGCCTTGTCAGGGTCACTGCTTGGTTACCTTGAGCTGACTGCATGTTGTATAACACAGTATACTAGATCTTGATCATGTTTGGAGGACAAGTTATATTAATATTGCAGCAGACAGGAAAGCAGGGAAAGTTTGCACATCCTACTAGATGGCTCATAAGCAAAAGCTGAGGCTATGACCTCTGATGTTTATTTCAGATTGAATGAGCAGAACATGAAGTATGAAAACTTAAAAGCTTGTCCAGCACCACTTCTAAAAAGCCTTTTTTTTACCAGACTTTGCGTGGATTTGTTGTGTGAGGTCACAATGCCTTAGTTCTGATGGATATCCGCACACTAGTTGGGAGAGCATGGGAAGCGCTTTGCTCCTTGATTCCAAACCCTCTGTAATCAGAGAAGCAGACACTAAGTCAGAGAAGGTTAGGAGAGAGCAAGCCTCAAGTACCCGTCAAGACTAGTGCATGTCTACTTTGTAGCAGTGTGAGTATGGCAAGGACAGCTGCACTGCCTGTAACCCCAGGAGACTGACATGTACATAGGACGCAGATCCAGTTTCTATGACTTCTCCACCCATTCCACCCTGTACTCCACCTGGGACTCTGGGACTTCCAGTAGATCACAAAGTGTCACTGCCAGCCTCTTGCAGGGATTGGTTAGCCATGTAATAGAAAACTACACCCTATGGCAGTAGGGAAGGCCTTGAGGATGGATGTAGTCTCCTTCTCTTCCAGAAACTGCTAAAGAAAAGAGCAGCACTGTACAGGGTCTAGCTCCTGTTAGAGCTCTAGGCTCAACGCTGTTTCTGGCAGATCCAGAAGGGTCAGATGGCACCGTGCAAGGGCCAGATCAGTAACTGCAAGGACATTTCAGGGTGCCATGGTGGAAACAGATGTACAGTATTGCCGTTTGCCAGTCTTGTGCCATGAGTGACAGTCTTTGTCGTTGCTCCCTGCTGAAGACAAGGGGAAACCTGGGAGAGGGTGTAAACATTGATGGGTCTAGTAGGGATCCAGTTCTCTCAATCAGACTCCAAGTGAAAAGAGATACTGTCTAGGCAGCAGTGAAGTGGGAGATGGAGATGAGCTGTTGTGTTGGCACCAACTGGACCCCCAAGTCAGGGAAGATTATGGATCAATTCATATCTACTGGACCATGCTGAGAACTTTGCAAACAATCAGCTGATGCAGCTCACCTTGCTTCAGGGACTTTCAGAAAATCAGAGACCCGCATACAACATAACTGTCAACATAAGTGACACATCTACAGTACAGTGGGGGACTAATAGCCAGATACGAAGCTGAAGATAATGACAGCAATTTCCTTATGCAAGCTATCGTAAAGCAATACTTATCAGAAGACATTGGTAAGCAATGAAGTAATGCATTTCTGGAACACCACTTTTAACGTGATCCAAGGTTCTTTGTCAGAGTGCTGTGCCAAACAATGAAATGTCAGATATTGTCATTAAGATATTACTGCTATAAAAAGCAACTCTCATGTAAATGTCAACAGGTTCACTGGATCATTTTAACTTGCTGCGGTATGCGAAGGTCTAATGCTACAAGCAACCTCACCTTTTCACATACTGTACTGTATCGTAGCTATCATTTAGCAATCCCCACCTGGATATCTACAGTACAATCCTGCAGGTCTATAGCCACTTCACGTTTAATTGAACAAATTACTAACTTAACTGAAGACTTACAAGTCATTAGACACTGATGATTTAGGGCTTATTGGGTCAAAGCTTATCCTTGTTTCTGTAGCATTAGGTGGACTAGAGAGCACAAGGCTGAATGGACAATTCAACTGAAGTAAAGTACCTCACTCAAGGTGTCTGCAGCAGGGATTTAAACCCACAATTTGAACTTAGTTATGAGCTCAAAGGATTGCAAACTGCGCTATGCCACCCCTTCATTTGGTAGCACAAAAATACAAACTGAAATTTCCCTTGGTACCTGTAGTGGTATTTTTAAATTCAAGTACAGTATTTGCTTTGCTATTGTATTGACTGTTTTCAAGGAATGCTTTATGTCTTTTCCAAATTACACATCTTCTTTAGACGCTGACAAATTCTGACTTTTTATGGTAGCTTAGGCACTTCACACATTTGCTTAGGCTAAACTGTCATATGATCGACAGTTGAAGCTTTTATTGTCACTGTTTTACAGCATGTTTTAGTTTGCCCAGTCAAATGACAGCATGCTGAGTCTGTAAGAGTGAGTTAAGTGGTCATATATTGGTCTGGCAGGCAGTCATTCCTCGATCCAAAGACATTGACATTCCTGGCTAGGAGGTGTTGCTTGTGTTTCCAAGAGGTTCCTGACCAAAAACCTGTTTGTTCCTCCAATCAGTTCAATCCCTTACAGTATTGTGGTTTTGACTGATCAAACCCCATTATTTTGAGGATTGGTCAAAGATGATAAAGCCTATTTGTATTTTGACCAGACACGACTGTCTAGTTTGACTCTACAAAAAGTGAAATGTGGAAAACGAGTGTTAAATAACTTTTTAATCAATAAACTAGTCAAATCTCATGGTGCTTGGCGAGAAAGTGTAAACATATTTCCACAATTCTACAGTATGAAAAACAGATGGAAAACAATTTTCAAAAACTGCTGATCAAATTAGTTGATGCAGCACCAAAATGTAAGAACTACATTGTGTTCACCCTTTGCTCTCTGTAATAGAGCATGCTGTATTTTCAGACTCATAATTTTTAATAGTTTTGGAACTGTTGATAGTAAAACTATTTTCACATGTTGATCTGAGCATAATTCATTGTTTTTGTTTCATCTTTCTTCCAGACCTGAGTACTACCATGCCTCATGCACAAGTCACAAAATGTAAGTTTGACCTTTGCTACATCTTTCAGAAAGTGTACCTGCCAGGTAGACTAAAAATAGACAAGAAGCCACAGTTTGCCGGTCTTTCTGCTCCAGCTCTCTCTAAGGTTTAGAAATGATAGCGATATTCACTTATTAAAAGCTCTTAATGTTTGAACTCCTGATTACACAAATTATCTGTCTCTCGTGAGTGTCTACATGCTGTAGGATCAGCTGCTTTTGGTTGTCTGGCTATCTGAAAACCTAAGGGAAAAGGTGAGGATTGTCCAGTAATGTTTTTCGGATGGGTGGAAACCCTCTTTTATTGCTCTAAGAGGTTGAAACTTACTCAAGAACAAGGCAGCAATTCGTGAATGAGACCCACCTGATACCTGCTGAGGTCTAGCTTAGACTTTGTCGATTACACTGAGGAATAGTGTAGAAATAGTGTCACTGAGGAATTGTCAGTTGGAAATGTTCTTCTAACTGCATAATTCATATAAGATGTAAAGGTTTTACAATTATTAAAATGCTAATTAAGTGCTGCCAACATTTCCACTAGGACATGAACCTGAGAGTTGGTGAAATTGCTTGTCTTCTGAACCCTGGCTATGGATAACCTTATGGACTGTATCCTACCACACCAAAGCGATATCTCCTGTTTCTAATGCAAAGTCTGGCTCGTTACAGAAAGCTTGCCAGTGAGTCCTGCATAACAGACAGGGAGTCGCCAAAGTTAAAATTCAATTCATTTTCATTGTGTGAAAACATCTTAACGTTAAAAAGGGATCTGTGGGGAGAATAATTATTGCCAAATTTCCATTTCTTTAAACTTGTCAAGGAGCTGCCAGACAAAATAACCAGAATCACTAGTTCAATGTAGCCTCATTTGCTGCATTTAGAAATAAAAGCAATTTATACAGTGTTGGACTGATATCCCATAGAACTTTTTACAGAAAAAAATCAAATTGATTTTTTCAAAAGGAAATTGAAATAATTCAAAATAAGATATTTTCTTTTCTAGATTTTGTAACACTTCCCACCCTTTTCGCATTCAATTAATTGGACAATTTAAATGAATCTCTCAATGCAGTACAGTCTGATGGGGATCACTTCCTGTGCTCACATTTCCTGAAAAAGCTTACGGTTTGGCGATGTGATTCTTAATAAATGGTTTGTATCGGCTCTCACTTACTGTGAGTGTCATGTACTGTAGGCCTGTTCTGGTGCTGTGTTGGCTAGAGAGCCATTGCAAAAACAAAACTGCTTGGTGACTTGTTTGACCACACTGCGAGCAGGTCTTCATTTTTAATGCTTAATCCAAAAAAGAAAACCTCACAAACACCCTGGACTCATGCTGGGCGCTTCTGAGAAATGTTCCATTCCCAGGTCCTCCAGTACCTCTGCCAGCAACAACTGCATTTGAAGTCTCCCTCCTCATTGGCAATTTTCCTCTTGTCCCTGATGTCCGAGCAGTCCAGGCTTTAAGGTGATGTCGTCTCAAGCAGCTTTCATTCTGGGGCTCACATTTGTACAACAAAATGCAGACATCCGAGTGTACAATGTGTTCAAAGTTAATTAGATTCACCATTTCTTTCTAATGGAATGTGTTCAATGTGCCTGACAAAGACGACCGTCTTTCTATTGATAGTGAATTAGATGTAACTTGAGATATTCATTAGGGTTTTTTTCGGTATAATTAACCTTACAGCTCAGACGGGGTTTAAAGCACTTTGGAGCCACGAGGTTCATGGTTAACCCAAGAATTTAATCAGAAAGACCAAAAACTATGTTCACAATGGCTACACAAAGGCAATTTAGGACTTGCTACAGAGAACGTATAAAAATGTGTCCTCTTCTGCTGTTTGACAAGACTGAGCTTGGAAAATTGGGGTACAATGTTTTTTCCAGTCCTATGAAGATGCATAAAATCTCTTTAAATGTGATGTAATTTACTCATTTCTTCTTTGATTAGCATTCTTTGCATTACAATTGTTTTTTATGCGAACAGGATCAGGTTGGAACCTGACAAAAATGTGAAGACTGCAGATTACATTTACATCAGTGATCAGGAACCCTGCCTCTTAATGGATTAGTGGTACAGTAGGTTCCTGCTTGGTCTTGCTATTCACCAAAGAGCAATTTCATATTAAATGAACCGAGGTAGCTTATGCTGCACACAGATCTCTCAAAACATCAGAAATTATAGGACAACAGAAAACATACACCCTCAAAAAACAAAATTAACATTTAGGCAAGGGAAAGTAATTTTGAGTTCAATTATAAATCTATGACTGCAAAATCAAATCTGCAAGGATTTTTTTTTTGCTAAAGTATTGTTTCTGAAACCAAAAAGTGTGTTTGTTTTTATCCTGTACACTTTGTTTTATGAGTTCTCTTCTTTAAGAGACTCAGTCTCTCCATCTCTTACCTGTTCCTGGTAAGCTGCAGGTTTTATAATTAACCATTAATGAGTTCTAAATACTTTGGAACAATATAATTGTGATCAGCTGCCAACGATTTGTTAAATTGGAAATCCTACGGGATGGTTAGTGAACTCTCAAGGACCAAAGGTCCCATAATTGAGCCCATTACTTAACTGATCAGTAAAGGAATTCCATCCATCCATTTTCTTATTTCTTTATCCTATGCAGGATGCCAGGGGAGCTAGGGTCTGTCCCAGCAAACACTGGGTGCAATGCAGGAGACACCCTGGATGAGAAGCCAGTTACAGACAGACACACTCTGGGGTCAATTTCACAGAAGCCAGATAGCCTACCAGTATTTCAGAATTTCAGAATTCAGATGTTCTTCTCTCTTTTTGCTTAAACTAAAAGTGGAGATCTGATACTAGTTCTTATGTGTTCATAATGGTTTAACAGCATTTATGCTATTGTGGTACTGAGCCACCTCAGGTCTTCTGCTGAAAGTATGATCAGATGGATGCTTATAGGATGTAAATCATTGTGTGGGAGTAAGCTGGCACATCTGGAGATTTCTTTGACATTCCATCTAAGTGGGAAGTCAAAGCTAGAAAGTTTGAAACAAGCACACATTTCCTTCATTTAAAAAACAGGAAAATCTCATGTCCAAGTACAATCCCTACAGAAGACATCTGACCAAGATTTTGCAAGATTGATATCCATAAATTGTTGGCCTGGCGGGTGATGAAAAACGTACAGTATGGCGCGTTAAATGATTTACTTACTTTTTAGAAGATGAAGCCCTACTCAAAGAGGGTGCTTTAGAGTAGTGGTTAGACCTCTGAAGCTGAGGGTGAAGGGTCGTGTTCAGTTCTCCAACTACATAACCCCATATAAGAGCTTGTGTGTCAGGGAAAGGGGCTGCTCATTGAAAGAACCTGTGAAATGAGTCACAGCTGCTCTGAATAAGTCCAGTAATTAGTGCTCAGAAGGAGAGACATTCCATATGAGAGAAGAGTTGGTGTGATGGGCCTTGAGTGTGATTGGTCACCCCTGGACTAATTGGGAGACTTATAAGAGCATGTGTGTATTGAGATTGCCATGAAAGGAGAGGGTATACTGTATCAGCTGTACTGGGCAGGTGGCATAGGGTTTGAACTTGCTTGCAGGCCTGTGAGAGTCAGAATGTGTCGAATATTTGAGAAAATACAGCTTAGATTTGTACTGAGGTGTTGGACAGGTGGTTATTATAATTAATTGCTTACACTTATATAGCACTTTTCTGGACACTCAACTCAAAGCTCTTTACAGGTAATGGGGACTTCCCTCAACCACCACCACCATCAATGTGCAGCCCCACCTAGATGCTGGAAAAAATAATCCACCTGGTTATGGGGTAGTTTGCCAGGTTCAGGTGGGAAGAAGTACGCTGAAGAGGATCTGGGTGGACCACCTGATCCAGGACTGCTGCTGTGGGGTGCTACTTGTCTTTTTAAAAAGTCTGTCTATGGCCAAACAGGATGTGCCAACAGAGTTAGTTATGGAAGAACGTATTAGTTGTTGAAACAAATGTCACAGAATACTGGTATTAAGGGTTAAACTGAGCTCAAAGCTCTGGTGTGGAGTAACTGTTGAGTACAGAATGTCACACTTGAGGAAAGCTACAGTGACTCGAGAGTTGAGTAAATATCACCATGTGACGTGACTGGAAGTAACTCCTCCATACAGTCATCCTTGAGATGGGGGGACCACTGTTAGATCTGAGATCCCAGAGGGGGTCTGAAAATCCAGGACAAACCAATCAAATGCAGAAAACATTTGTGACATACTCGTTTGTTATTGAATGTCCTGTTGTCATCACAGCCTTTGGTCTTGAAATGTCTTCTATTTTAAAAAAAAAGTGTATACCAAGTGAAGAGATTTGTCTGCTAAATTACTATTTCTGACAATTGTCAGAACTCAATGATCTTTACTATGTAACATTTAGCCATCAAATGTGTTGTCGCTAGATATTCTTAGTGTTGGCTCGTGCTACTTTCCTTTAAAACTGACATGTAAGCTCATATAAACTCATATGTATTTATAACATACAAGCTCACATTGCCTCAGGCATTAAAAATGCACCATTCTTCATTCAATGACTCAACTTTTTTTGGATCTGTCATCTCTTTAAAAAAAATCAGCTTTTGCACCCTCTATCCATTTTTCCTATACTTGCACTAGGGCTGTAGCAAGGAGGCCAGAGGATTAACCACTAGCAGTTTTTACCTGCATAACAAATGAAAGGTGATTGAACGTTGAGACGATTAGAACACAAAAACGAGCATTTGATTCTTTGCCAACGACATGATTTCTATTTATGGAACTAGTGTCTGAAAGAAAATAAGATTTTTTGTTGTTGTCTGTGCTTAGCTTTGGAAACATCTTTTTATTTAAAGAGGTTCAAAGACCTTAAATCATCACCAAATGATCATGCGTCAAATACATTATAATCATCAACTAGGCAGTTCAAACCATGGGTGGCCAGAGTATCACAAGGTACTGATAAGAGGCTTTAGCCTTTACTGTACACATGCCAGTTTCTCCTCTTGTATGAGATTATAAGCATTGATGCATGAATGGATTAATCAGAACTCCATACCACTGATTTCTTTAGTCAGTACTTCATGCAACACAGTGAGAGCAACTACTATAACAACTATAAAAACAATATACAATCCTGGATTTTACTTGACTTGCCTCTGTAAAACAGCTTTGGCTAGACAATGACATCCATCCCTTAATTAATGATGGAAAGCATTTTCAGCAGGACAAATTGCAAACTACAGAGTATATTTGTTATTGCCGTTAATCGTCGGAGGCCCTCATTCACTTGATCCTGCTTAGTCTGTGAAAGCCTCCGGCAAAAATCTGAGGCGTAAACTGTAATTTTAAACTAACAGAGATAGCTTAAACCTAATCCATGTTGAAAGAGCAGGCATGATAAAACCATGCTATTAAATAATACTGTATACTGAAACAATTAAATAATGCAACCCCTTATTCAAGACATTGGGTAGGGAATAAAGTTATGATTATTTTGTATGTTTTGGACAGGAAAATAACTAAATCATCTGCAGCCACCAGTTGCCACCAGTAATTTAGGGCCCAGTTAGACTAAATCCCAGTAAAAATGGGAGCTGAGTACAGACAAGGATTGAGGATCACTGGGTGCCTCTCAACTGAAACACACCACATTTATTTTTCCTGACTTTAAAACATTTTTTGTTGCTCTACATATTTGAATTTCCTTTCAGGTGCTACACTTTACCTTCTGTGCATATCTTTATTTCATATTGTATGTGCTGTAGTCTGCCTTTTATTCACAGTACCTCGCTGCACAGTTCTAAACAAAAACAAAAAAGGCTGGAAAAATTTCACGCCATCACCAGCCAGTTAACCCCCAAGCTGGGAAGACAGCACCTCTCCTTTCAAGTGAGAGGCTGGTTTGGGTATTTTGGCAGGCCGCAATTCAGGGTCTCTTTGAGTCTTGACAGCATACACGCTGTAAGATGGGCCAGTGGTCATTGTGGGTCTGGCTGGACCAAAATGGAGCAGAAATATTACATTGTTGGTGAAACAAAGCTTTTTCCCCCAGGTACCTCTAATTGTTTTCACTTAAAAACACTGTTCTAACATGCTATTGTCGCTGTGAGTTGGCAAAATGAGACATGGCGCAAGACATGATCCCGACTAAACCTCTTGGTGAAATGAAAGAAACGTGTCGCAATAGAGGACTCGGCGGCACCTCGGCTCTCCGAACAAGTGTTATTTTTTCAGTCCCTTCCACAGCTTGGGTTTCCAAGATTCCCCTGTGTTATGGGGGGGGGGACCGCAAAATTACTTGGAGAGACAAGGGCTGCTCCACTGCCCTGTACTTTGAGGTATTTCAAGTGATTTACAAAAAAAAATATGCCGAGGGTTGTTTACAGTGGCATTCGGCAGTGTATTAAGAAGACTCATCGCCGTCCTCATTTCATGACTGGAAAGTGTTTATCCTTTGCTGAAACAGAGGCTGCTGTAATAGTTTAAAGAAACGCAAAGTGTTACGCTTGAGTGAAGCCATGTTTCAATTGGTATGTATGCATTTGCAGTTAAGCATCCTGTTTATCAGTATGGGCATGGTACTGTATAATTTACTTCACCGCAGAAGAAGGATTCAGGGTGTTCAAGTGACCTGCCACAGTCTTGATTATTTTGTCTGGGGACACAAATCAACACAAACGTTCCTTGACATAAATCCCCCTCTAGTCACATAAGCAAGAGACAGAGCAGATCGTAAACTTCTCTTGAGCACAACAACATACGAAAGGTGTCTGCGCGGAGAGCTTTGAGGGTTAAAACCAGTGAGGTACTGTACGAAAGCACGAGGTAGTGTGAAGGGGAGAGGAATGAAACTGAACTTTTTCCCCCCAACCCTAGGAGTAAGTGTTTGAACTTTGAGTTCTGGATTTCATGAACCTGAGACCTGTAATCAACAACAAGGCTCCCAAGGGCTGTTGGAGTCTGTGAAATAAGAAAAGTTATTCTTGAGGTGGCTGTGAATGAGGTGTGTCCCCTGCCTTATGTTTCTTTTCTTGCTGTGCTTTTGGTTTTCTCTGGCTAAAACCTGTAACAAATGGAAAACTACTTTTTCCAATAAGTCAAGTGTTCTCAGTCTATGATCTAATTGTGGTTTGGTGTAGTATGTGGCCTTAACCTATGATCACTTCTGGAAAAATGCAAATTTGTATGACTTAAATAGTTCATTAGTTCTGTTTATTAAGGCAATTTGTGTGTTGCCAGCTGTAATATGAACATCTTCACAGTAAGAGAATCTGCTTCCTGTTCAGTGCAGGACAGCTTATAATTTACAGTACATGTCAGATTGTAACACTAAATTCAGTAAGTCTAAATTGACTGAAATAAGCTGTGGCGTACATGGCAAATGAAACAGAATTAGGGTTGTATATGCACCAGTGATTGTTTGATGTCTAACTTTCTCATGATTGCAATCAGTGACCTGCTTTTATGTACAAGATCAACGTAAAATAGCCACAGTGTAGCAGAACATTGCACATGGATGATATTCAATTGAACTTGAGCACCTAGTCCCTATCCCATCGAATCATGTGTAGAAATCAGGACCTTCACTGAAGTCCCACTAGGATTAACAAGGGCTTTGTATAACGGATTGAAAATTCCAACAAACCAGAATAGCAACTGCAAAAGACTTCAAGTCTGTGTGCATTTGACTATGAAACACTGAAATCCAGTCTTTCCATCTGAGAGATTCCTTTTTATTAAGAGCTACCCTGCTCTGTGCACAAGCACTGGATAAACATGAAAGTATAAGTGTCTCAAGCTAGGATGTCTGTTATTTTGTGCCAACCTGTTTGCTAATCCCATTGCCCAGTTGAAAATAAGAATTTACCAGGGGAAAGCCAACACAGGTACGACTCCCACCTCACTGATGCAAGAACTGTGCTCCCAACACAACCCCCCTCCATAATATCGACTAAATAAATGACAGTACAGCTCATACAGTAAGTGCAGATCATTAATTTATTAAATACTGTAAATCAGAATTAACACAAGCATAAGATTTTTTTTTCATTTTCCAGGTATATTCCTCTACATTAGTGATACTTTATCATTAATATATCCACGTATTGTCTGGGTTGTTGATGCAAGTATATTAATTTACAAATAATATAAGAACAACAAAAATAAACTTTTGATTTCAGAAAATTACCCAGGTTAATGTTTACAAAAATAAATAAAGGCTGAAGTGCACTTGGACCCAGAAGCAAGCCATTATGACAAGATACATATATTTCTGAAGTTCATTTACAGTAGAGGCCCAGCTTCAAGTTCACCTCATATCCAAAATGATGTGAAGCCTGGTGTGATCATTTCGCCATCTTTTGTTATATTTTCTGCTAGCTGTTCTCTGTGAGGGTGGCACAGAGGCACAGTGGTCAGCATTGCTATCTCGCACCACTGGGGCTCTGGGTTCAATTCCAGGGCTGCTGTCTGTGTGGAGTTTGCATGTTCTCTCTGGTCACATGGGTTTCCTCCAGGCGCCCCAGTTTCCTCTTATGGTCCAAGGACATGCTAGTGTCATGAGTGTGTTGGTGTCTGTGTGTTGTTAAAGAATGGATGTGCTGTGTGGTTTTTGTTTCTTTTCTTTAGCTTAATTCATTAGGCTTTAGCTTAATTCAAGGCTGGACCTGTGGAGAAAATGAGCATGTAGCTGTTTGATTAAGAAACTGAACTGCAACTTTGCACACTGGACTAACACTATAACACTTCCCCCAATCACTTCCTCCATGTCCAGGTCCAGGAGTTCTTTGGGAGACTCCGATGTGGTACAGTAGCTGGTGTGAGAGCTGCCAGTCCAAAGAGACTGTAGCTGTGAATCATGCATAACATACACAACAAAGAAGATTTATGGATAAATGTATTTTGATTAACATGGAACACCTGCAAAACATCCTGAAACACAAAATAACACTGCTCCATAGATGCATCGGTCATGTGGCTGCCTTTGTCTGGCTAGTAAACTCATGAACCTACTTACTGTACTTTCAAAAACCACCCCTTCACCCAGGAATAAACTGTCTAGGCAATCAGTGCTCACTTGAGTGTTATTGATGGCTTCTTCATCTGAACAAATGTTTGTGACCAGAAACTCTCATTCCAGCTTTTCTAAAGTCATGGCACTTTAAGTGGTAATCGGTAGTATGATGAGCCATGATTAGTCATTAGTCATCCAGGTGGGGCTGCACACTGGTGGTGGTGGAGGGGATCCCCATTACCTATAGCGCTTTGAGTGGAGTGTCCAGAAAAGCGCTATATACTGTAAGTGTAAGCAATTATTATATTAATTATTATTAGTCTTTGCCCATTAAGCGTCTCTTCTTGTCATTTATCTCACAGAATACCCTTTTTGTAAAGGGTCCATATACACACAATTGTTGCTTAGGTCTCACTGGACCTCATTATCTACCCTCTCTCTTCTCCTCCATTCCTAAAGACATGGGGCAATCAGATACTGGCTAGTCCCACTTTTACATTGATTCAATGTTTTGCAAGTTCCCTGCAAACCTTTCCAACTGAGAGCATGTCTGCACCATTACAATGGGAACTAGTTTCACAGCGGGAATGTTTGAAGTTTAAACAAAACCAAAACATACACTAATAATTTCATTTAAAATGAATCAAACTTTGGGGGGGGTGGGGAAAGTGATGTATGGTTGTTTCTTCTCCTCGGTGGTATTTTAGTGAGATTTGCAGGCGCACCTGCAAAGCCATCAATAACCCTCCTTATGCTTCTGAAAGAGTAGTTGCAGAGCTGTTAAGAGAAACTTGTGCACCCAGGCAGCACTGTTTTTTTTTTCTTTTCATTTTTTTTGCTGTTCGTACTGTCAAGCTCCTGGCCCAGAAATGTCATCTTGGCAGGCCACAGGTTTTCTTCTGTTGGCAGACGTTCGATTTTTAACTCGGAAAAGAGACTAATGACAGATGGTTTGGGACAACCCATCAAATAAATAACCCCATCCAGCTGCTGTCATCATATTGTATAGGATTTTTTTGTTTTGTTTGATTTGGAGCTCCAAATGGAGGCCAACAACCTCTCGGAGCTAGAAGTCTCAGAATAGATGGGCTTGTATTCTGAGTTATGTACCAGACTCAATAAGTCTTTCTTCTAGTAAGTAACAGTTTTTCACATGGGATCATTTTAGTGACATTTTGACTGTTTAGTCAAAACAACAGCCAATACTATGAAAGTAGTGTAATAGTACTCTATTAACAGATGTACTACTTGAATACACTTCTTTAATAAAGCAGAAATCCATTTCAAATCTAACCAATTCCATTTCTCATCCAGTCATTGACCAAGGCTTATCCAGTCAGTGTGTAATAAAAGCAAAGCATATTAAAAAAAAAAAGAAATTATTTGATTTGCCAGAAATGTCAGTGAAGAGACCGTCTATAGCACGCTGCTGAATTACACATTTTTTAATAAGCTTATAAGCCGATAGCGCAAGTAACATATACAACCAAATGTGTGCTCATAGATGACACGTAAAATAAATATTTTCCTCTAAGCACCTGGGCCATAGATGATGGTGATGAGTCTTGTGATCTCGCAGATTGGATTAGATATTAAGACATAGCTTTTGTAGTCTCAGGTCTTCTGTGCCCGTCTTATCTTAAAACAGAACTGAGATGAAAATGCGTGCCAGTGATCTCTGGGAGAGAGATGGCGAGCCAAGAAAGGCACCCCAAGTGAATCGAAGCATGACCCCTGCCATTCTGAAACGGATCCATCCAGAGCAGAAAGAAAAACACGTTTTCTCAGGCATCCCCGACCATGACCACCGAGGTGTGAAGAACTCAGCAAAGCGATGCTCAGTTTGTCCCTTCCACACTCATTCTCGAGCTGTGCGGATGACTTTTGTGTCTGAGGGAGACCTCAAGTGCCATTAGTCTGGTTATTTACAGAGTGGGTGCGTGTGTGGGGTGGGAGAGGGACAGGGTGGGGGCTATACACCCAGAAGCATGCCCATGAAATCGGAGCCACTTTGTATTGTAATGGAAGCCCCTGCTGCATTGTCCACAAATATTGATGTGTACTGTCCAGCCTGGGGAGAATGGAAAAAGAACATGTCAGTCCTCCTAATGAGACACACAGAGTCAGAGTGGCATTATTCTTCTTGCTAGGATGTATGACTGACCACGACCTACAGTATACATCTACAACTCCACCGTTAGAGATGTTTAGTCTTGAAATGCACATGACCGTTCGGCAAGTGAAATATTAATTTGCTGGGTCACCCGTCTTCAGAAGAAGCATTAAAAAGTCTGCAATTTGACTTGCTTGATGTGAGCTGAGACACCATTGAGGTCCTCCGGCCACTGAATTATTTCTCTTAAACTGCGACCGATCTGCAAACGTGTTCTGAAACATTGGTTAGGAAAGCAGAAATCTGCTTTGCAGATGTATGTTTCTGTGAGGATGCACCATATACTGTACCTAAAAATGGTTTTGACTTGGCGAGTTTTAACCTGTGCAATTTGATGACAGAATTGTCAGACTGTCTCTCGCAAATTTTAATTGATCATTGTGACCGAGGCTTCATTTTTACATGAATGGAAACAAGGCACTATTTCATGCAAAGTTGGTCTTCCTGGGGAAATCTGTGCTGCACCCCAAAGAAAGCTGTAGCAAAGAACGGTTTTAAATTTCTGAGTGATGCTGGAGCCATACTGGTCCTTACCTGTAGTTCCAGTAATCCATGGACATAAACTGTGAATATCTTACTGTTGCTTTCCAATCCGACAATCATCTCTAAGGACCTAGGAAAAAGAAGAAAAAATACATATTTTATCCAGAATTATATATTCTGTAATTATTCACTTAAGTGATTAGTTGTTGTTTTGTCAATATGCTTTATTACAGAGAAATCCAAACTTAGGCTTTGCTGTTACAGTGCCTTTCTGGTTTGAATTAACACATTGATCTTTTTGCAAGGCTTTATCAAGCATTACACTTTTTCCTCATGGGAAATAGTCAAGTTCATGCAATCAGGTTTAATCATTGCAGTATGATTACCACAACATAAAATCTTCTGGATACTGAGGAACAGGAACAAGATAAAATAACAGCTCTTAAATAATAAACGGGTTGCTCCTGATACATATCTTAAGAGATCTGTTTTCATAAAGGTATAAGATTAAGGTTCCTGTAATGTGGTGTTCATTCTCTGGGTCCTGTGTCCCTTTTCAGACAGACTCTCTTACAAGAAACTTCTAAAACCAAATATCTGAGTCGGGATTTCCAGCTGTTCCTGGTTAACAAGCGTGCCGCTTTTTCCCTCATTAACAGGAAATTGGCAGATGCGGAGTGTAATGTTCACAACTGCAAGCTGCTGCCCCTTGCTGTTTTATAACCGCGTGACTTTCGCCCACAGTTGTTTCACCTTCCCCCAGTTCAATCACAGGATCTGCACGGATTTAGACTTTGAAGAAAGCCTACAGCAGTTTTCTAAATGGACATTCCAAAATTGAAATCACAATTTGTGTTTCATGCTCTTTGCATGGTAATCAAAGTGGTGGTGGTGGAAGGGAGTCCCTATTACCTGTAAAGCGCTTTGAGTGGAGTGTCCAGAAAAGCGCTATATAAGTGTAAGCAATGATTATTATTATTAATCTATAGCCGAGTCAGCTTAGATCTTGCAGGGTGCATTCGTGCAGTTCGTACCATTGGGCCTCCTAGCTGCACACTGTCTGCTTCCTCGTCTTTTCCACTCTGCAACAACCCTACCACGCTCTGTCTTTGGTTCTGACAGTCACAGGAGTCCCTGATAAACAGCAACTAGAGCATATTCTGCTAACAGTGAACCCACCTCATTGTGCTTGTGGGATTCCAGGCGCAGAGATGAACCAAACCTACAGATCTCTGCACTGCAAGAGCTCATTTGTACATTCTCCTGAGAACTTTCCCAGTTCCCACAGTGCAGCTTATATTTCCACATAAGCTACTACCACATGTGGAAGATGGACTAATATTCTAATCAGTTGGTTATTTGCTGCAGTCTGATAAATCCCAAAAGATTGAAATGTTCTATGGATCAATGCATTTGTCTGTAATTAACATCAGCTCATTATCCTGCCAACAAGGCGGGACATCTTCATCAAATACTGTACATTTCTTAAAAACCTGGAGTTTTTTTTTTTGCTTTTTCCTCAGTGGACAAGAAGCACCTCCAGCCGAGAGTTTGTCGATGACAGTGGAGCCAAAAGAAATCAAAACTAGATGGGTTGCTGCCATTGGTCCCTCAAGCTTGGTTCTTTTATCCCCGAATTCCTGAGAATTCAACAGCTGTCAGGGCAGCAGGTAAAATGACATTTGCATCAACATGATGTTGCTATGTGACGTGCAGTCATAGTGCTACAAGTCAGATTATTACAAAAGATGTCTTTTAAAAATGTATTCTAAGTCATTTTACCAGATTGCTCTGAATTATGCCGAGCAGTTGAACTGCTAGTTGAAAAACAAAACTGGCAGTGCTGGGAAGTTATATTAATGGCTTTGACAACACGTGCTGAGAAAGACGAAACCTTGAAGGAAGGCTCGCACGTGATTTTCCTTTTCCTTTTTTCCTTCCTTGTTTCTGAAGGAAATTTTTTATTGTGAAAATAAAGAGGAGGAAATGATGCACAAGCAGCTCCACAACGGGCAAAGATAAACTCAGCTGCCTAATCCACATAACTAGAAACATCCCGGCATTGTTCGTTGTAGTTCAAAGTAGTTTACGTATATGTAAACTTGAAAAGCTGAACTTTAAGTGGTGTTTTTATCAAGCCATGTAGGCTGCAGAATTCGTGTGTTTTCAAAAGCGTATACTGTCTGATTTCTCCTCGGCCAGCATAATCAATTACTGTTCACGCATTCAGATATTAGTTATATACTTTAGGTCTCACCTAGGAAATGATGTTTATAAACCTGCATTTTAGTTTGTCATTTACTGTATTATTAATCCCTTTTCAGGTTTCTTTGGGTCACATTGTGTGCTGTCTAGCTTTGTAGTTAAGTTCATTAGTGGGGAGCTGTGTGATAGTCACTCAAAGCATAGGTTTATAGACTCAAACATATTGGCTGGTAAAGGCCAGGGGAAACTTGACCAGGATGCAGGGGTTACACACCTCCTCTTTTTGAGAAAATCCCCGGGATATTTAATGACCACAGAGAGTTGGGACCTTTGTTTTATGTCTCATCTGAAGGGCAGCGCCAGTTTAGTGATGGGGGCACATGACATGATTATTACTTGATTATATCTAAGTGCTCTTTTTCAAAACCAGTTTAGGTAGCTGAAATCTCCAGTTTGCGTAGTGTCGAGCTGTCGATCCTGGTGTAGTTCCAGCTCTGTGGTTCATCCCCTTACAAACTATCTTCACCTCCAGCTGACACCACTGGTATGATGCATTTGGTGGAAATAGCAACATGTTTTATGGTGAATCAGTTTTATTGCAGTTCTTTTCAGCAGCCATGCGGCATAGATTAATTTTACTATCTCAACAGTTTAACACACTGAAGAGCCAAGTCTTGGACAGAACTTTCAGATTGTTGATTGTATACTTTTATCATTAAAATCCAGGATGAGAGAAACTGAACCTTACTGAGACAGGGTGAGCTGCCAGGCAGTGCAAATGAATGAGGCAAAAGTTGTGAAAAAGGTGGAAAATAAGATTCTGTTCACTCTTTAAGCAGTTCTACCATGAACTTGGCTCCTTCAAGGAATATGGTAACTTGTAGTTTAAATTTGAGATTGAAAAGGTTAGTGAGAATGCAGGAAAGGTTATTTCCTGGATTTCTGGAGCGAAAGGTTACTTCCTTCATAAGACCTGCTTGGAGTTTTTAACAGGAAATTGTTCCACTCAAGGTAAAACAGACAACGTTTTACACCTCATAAATAATACTGAAAGTCAATGGGCACTAAAATACACCTTTATTTCATAAAGTGCTGCATGTTATTGTGGTCTTAAAAAAAAAGATTGGGTCGTAAAAATCAGTCAGAACACAATTTGCGTACCTTCAGAGCAGGAACTCGATCTGTTTTTCGGAGATGTAATCACATTTAAAACGTCTGCATTACTTTGGGGGGGAAAAATACATTTTGTTTTTTAAACGTGTGGAAAATCTTCCGAATGCGAGACCAGGACTGAGCTAGGCCATGCAGAAGAAAAATATAAAAGTATATGCTAACTGAATAGCGGTGAATTCTCTGACATTGCATAGAACATCAATTAAATCAAATCAAAATCAGAGTAAAAAGGGACTGTGGGATGTTGCCATATAAAATAGCCAAACTGTGGCTTTTGGCTTCGTGTTGCACCTTGAACATATAAATGCAAATTTGTGGTAACAGTGTACAGTACAAAGGGTCTTTATACACAGGAAAATGCTCAGACAGCCACATTCTGTTTAGTTCTTTCAAGGAACACTAATTGCTAATGATTTATATATCTGAACTCATTCTATCCTTGAAGCGGTTTGGGTGAGTGTAAAATACTGGGTGAATTAAAGCATTATTAATAGGGGTACTAAAAGCAGTTTTACCCTGGGGGAGATATAGTATTTCTAGAATGTATTTGTGCTTTCCATTCTTAAAATTGTGAGTTTTTTCATTTTTTAATTTTTATTCACAAGTCATGTCAATTTGATATCCCTAAAATGTAGTAGCCCTGTTGCATAATAAGAAACCTGAGCTACTGTTGATCGATTTTTCCTTTCAGGTTTCGTGCACGTTATGTGAAAAACCAAAGACAAAATGTTTAGAGCCAGGCACCACAACCATT